AGTTCATGAAACTTGAAACAAGTCCTTTTTAATAGACGATTTTTGAAGTGAGTCATCATTTGTCAAGAAATAGGAGGCATGGTTTGTCATCTTTCAGGTTCTCATATTAATCTTGGGAGGCGGCTCTGAGCCCTTTTTTTAAATATAATTACTGGAGTCTTGTTTCATTGATTCACATTGCAACTGCTGTCAAAAATACTGATTTTGCAAGAAGCCGCTAAATTTGCCCCTTGGAAGTATGGTTTTTGTCATTATCTTTCAGATTAGTTCAGGTATTATTATGAAAACAGGGGATGTATGCACCACTCTCAGAACACATCGCTTGTCTCCAGACTAACCCTACAGCTCCGAAGTGTGGAACAGTCATAAGATCTTTGCCGGACAATAAAGCTAATAGAGTAGCTGGTGCCATTTGACCCAGTGTCAAGGAGCTAGCTGGGTCATTGTGCATAACAGTTTCTCCAAGTCATAGTGTGCTAGTTGCAGTCAGCCTGCGAATGCTTTCTCTCTGGTACCCTGACATTTGGAAGCTGGGTTTCTTTTCTTTCTGGGCCAACTTTACCCATAACTGCTGTGCAGAATCTGTTCAATGAGTTTCCGTTGTCTGTAAAGCAAAGGAAAATCCCCAGCGCTGTGCAGTAGCCCTTCAGAGTGTCAGAAAAAAGCCGCTGTCAGTTTCTTTGAAAGCACTGCAGAAAGGATTAGGAGTCTAGGACCCAAAACTTGAGATCCTTGTGGAAAATAGTTTCCCAATTAAAGGGCTATGAGTTAATGGCTATGTGGGAAGGTCAGTGATCAACAGGGACTAGAGGTTGCTTTGTCCACTGGCTGTGACCCTCCTCAGCTACTTAGCTTCAGGAACAGTCGGAGGCCACAGACAAAGGGAAGTTAAAAACTCTTCAGTGTTGTTCGAATCTTAGATGGTCTTTTAATAACAAACAAACAAACAAACAAAACCCCAGAGCCAGATATCAGGGTGAAAGCTGAAAGATCAGAGAAGCAGAGCAGCCAGCCACTAGTTCTTACCTCTACGAAATCCTCAGCCTAAAGAGAGTGCGTTGTTTTTTTCTCACGCCTTATATACCTTTCTCAGCCCTGCCACATCACTTCCTGGGATTAAAGGCATGTGTGCTTCCCAAGCAAAGGCATGAGATCTCAAGTGCTGGGATTAAAGGTGTGTGCCACCACTGCCTGACCTCTATGTCTAATCTAGTGGCTGATTCTGTCCTCTAATCCTCAGGCAAGTTTATTAAGGTACACAATATATCACCACACTTCAGGGTTCATAAATTGCATACTGTGTGAAGGCCTGTGCATCTAGGGACTGCCAGAGGGTCTCAGACGCAAATATCTTCAAAGCAAATAGACTCTTGTTGTTCAAATACACAGAACAGAATAGAGATCAAGATGCATCATCACAGGCTAGAGTCACTTTATAGTGGGAGGAAGGATTGGATATTCAGGAATTTATTTAATTTCTTTATTTTTTAGAAAGTATCTGTGAATGTCTAAGCAGGGAGATTACATTGAATGGACTTATTTGTAAGTGACAGTTAGATCTTACTTTGGACCACATGCTGTTCCAAGGATCTTGCAACATTGTCTTAATTTTTATGACTCTACTGTGTACAAGGGATAGCTTTTACTCTGGTTTTTGGAAGAGTGGTAATGTACCTAACTTTATCAAACTAGGAACTGTAAAAGCTGGGTGTAGCCCCAAGGTCTTTCTCTGAAGTTGTTCCAGTCAAGAGAAGGTCAGGAGAACTAGGCAGTGATCATCATTCCAACCAAGTAATTTTCAGGGGTCCTTTCACTGAATCATCCTTTGAGCATGTTTTTCTGTGTCCTAAAAATATTCAGAGTGGATATATTGATGAGTTGAGTGTTGTTTCTAAGAGATCCCCGTGAGCCTGAAGTGTAGCTGTCGGAGTGGAAAACTACAGCCCGCAATGCCCTGTCGCTGACAGGTGTCTGTACAAGCTGGGCTGCTCCTGGCTGCAGCAGGCAGGTGGCAAGGCAGAAACATGGACAGCAACAGATTGGAGAGCTTGAAGATAAACAAGGGGCTGCATAAAGTCCCCAAGCCAGGATTTTTGGCCAGCAGTCAGGAACAGGTGGTTGAGTAGCCAGGAGTGGCCAGAATCACCCCACGCTGAACCAGGAGGGACTCTGATGAGGGATAACAGCTGAGGGGTCTCCTGGGAAAAAGGCTCCTGGCAGGCTGGTCTGGTTTCCTCCTAAATAAACAGCCCTCAGCAGGTCTCTCATGCCTTAAAGGGCTATATAACCTGAGTTGATAGAGTGGTTTTTTTGGTTTTGTTTTTGTTTTTTTTATCGAACAAGCAGACAGAAAGAGAAAGGCTCCATTTTAAGGGGTGGCAGGACAGCTCTGGAGAGCCGCTGATCTGTGCAGGGGTTCCACTTGGGACCAAACGTCAGAATAAACATCAGAAAGGGAGATGAGGATTCTGAGATGTGTGCTACTGCATTTTTCTAAAGGAAGTGAGGGAGGTGAAGAGGGAGAGGAGAGAGAGAATCAGCATATAGTTATCGAGAGCTATGCCAGACATGCAGACTTCTAGAAAACAAGACATTTCTGGCATCTTAATTATTTTATGAAAAGTGGATAAAAATCTTCTTATGGGGAATCTGCTTTCTGGACTTACAGACTTGGATCAATTAAATGAAGTGAAAGAACTCCCTTGGAGAGCAAAAGATGAAATGAGAGGAATAAGTCCATGAAAGGAAGGCTAACATTACCGGTGCCATAACAGTGGCAGAGCACTTGTCTAGCTGGTGCAAGTGCTAGGAACAGTTCCACACACACAGGGAGAAAGAAGGTACCTAAGTTGCCAAGAAGAAAAAGAAACCTGAGTCATTAAGTATATGTATATGACATCCTGCCAACCAGGTTCACGTGAAAGTGCAGAGTTCATTTGACAGATGAGTATGTGTTAAAAAATATTAGCTGCCGGGCGTGGTGGCGCACGCCTTTAATCCCAGCACTCGGGAGGCAGAGGCAGGCGGATCTCTGTGAGTTCGAGGCCAGCCTGGGCTACCAAGTGAGCTCCAGGAAAGGCGCAAAGCTACACAGAGAAACCCTGTCTCGAAAAAACCAAAAAAAAAATAAATAAATAAATAAATATTAGCTGGTCAGCTCACTGTGGCTAAAAGAAAAGGAGAAAAGATTGTGGCTCTCGGCCTCTGTGTATGCAGAAATGTGGCCATGGTCTGGTGCTCCAGGTTCTGAAATGCAGGCCTGCCTTTCTGACCTCAATGCACTGTGTAGTTGGGGAAGGTACTTTTCACTTTTAAAACAAAAAATCTTCAGAAATTTAGCTGTATGAGTTTATATATATGTTATAAAACTATACTTAAGCAGTTGAAATAATTTACTTTCAACATTTGAATTCAGATGATTTCCAATAGAGTTGAAAACAGATTTTTAGTTCTTTGGGCAGGGGATGGTGGCATTACATCTTAGGGGGTGGCATTGCATTTTAGATCTGTTTTTTGCTTTTAGGCTTTTTCTTTCAGTGACTTCCTGGTTAGCTTTAACTGTAAACTTAACAGCCCACAGTCATCCAAGAGGATAGCCTCAAGTGAGCAGTTGCCTGGGTTGGATTGGCCTATGGGCATGTTTGTGTGGACTGTTTTGATTATTAGTTGATGGGGGAGTGCAGGTCTTCGTGGCATCATTCTTAGCCAGGTGGCCCTGGACTGTATAAGAAATCAAGTTCATGAACCTGTGAACAAGCCAGCAAGCAGCATCCCCTCATGGTTCCTGCCTCCAGGTTCCTTTCTTGAGTTCCTGTCCTGACTTCCGTCAATGATGAACTGAGACCTGGAGGTGTGAGCTAAAATCCCTTTCCTCCTTGAGTTGATTATGGTCATAGTATTTTATCAGAGCAACAGGAAGGAAGCCGGGACACTGAAAGGAGAAGTGTCTGGCCAGTCGTAGAGATCTATGGCTGAATGTGTTGCTCAGGTTGCTGTTCTCCCAACCTTGAAGAATTGGACAAAGATAGAAACAGCTTGTAGAACATCTTAGACGAGTGTTATCTAGCTAGACCATTGGCAAAGATGGTGACTAACTTAGAACTCACTGGTCAGCCAGCCAGTTGATGCAGAACTCAAAGGTTTCTACAAGAAGTGAGAAAACTATGATGCCAGCCCTGGGCTTTCCAGTTTACTATCTTAGTCTGACTTGAGAGTAGCTTGTCTTGCCTTTTAGGTACTGCTTACTGATGATGCTGGCCTGTGGTCTGTGTCCTCATCAGCTGGCTGGCTCCAAGCCATGCCTTGCATTTCTCCTGAGCCCAAGTCTGTAGAGAGTAGTGACAGCTTTTGTGGATCTGAGAGCTTATGGCCAACAGCTGCTAAGAGCCACCCAGTAGTGGAATATGTTGTTAGAAGTGTGAAACCCACCCATTATTCCAGCCTCTTTTTTTTTTTTTTAAATAGTTTGCTTCTTACTTATACATTCTTGTTTCTTAATCCACTTCATAGTATTTGACTAGTGATTTCAGAAGTGAACCCAGGATGTAGTTTAAGCAGGCAAGTACTCGATGAGCGTATTTTTTTTTTTTTTAAGAACAGTTAGTTTTATGATTTCCAGTTACTATAAACATTGAGTCTCTCCACTGGCACCTACATTCTGTGATACTTCTACTGAGGGTGGAGAATGGTGGAAGTCACAGGTAAACTAAGATTCCTTGTTCTCAAGGGACAAGAAGAAAAGACCATATGCAAAGTGCTCAGGAGTGAATCATTTTTGTTCCAGATGAAAAGTAAAAATAATTATGTCTTTCTGGCAACATCAGGGACATGTACTTGGAGAAGGTGGCTTCGACATGGGTGATAAATAATTTGTAAGATCTCAGTTGTTAGAGGTAGGACAAAGAGAAAGGGGGCATTCTTAACAGAGCACATGGTGCCTCAGTGAAAATGTGGATCTGGCATATTTATTTTAATCATCTACAATATTTAGAAGCATGGGTCATTTGTACCGAGGGGACTCTCTTGACAGCAGACTCTGGAACTTAGGGATTTACATACTTCATAGATAGCAGTGATCACCAGAAATCTGTGGAAGATGTTAGAAGAGACACATGTGTAAAATTTGAGGGAAAAGTTGAATTTTGTTTAGTGACAGTTGACATGGTGATTAGACAATAAGACTGGAGATGTGGAGACTTAAACTTGTAAGCATTTGTGGGTGGCACCCCAGAATAAAGGTGGTAGATACAACTCGGAAAGAAAAAGAGGTTGTGAGGATGATGACGACACCATAAGATGTGCTATCTTGTACACGTTTGTGTCACAGAAGGGAGCAGAAGAAAACGAAAGCAGGACAGGTTCTCGGAAATGTGCCTGGTAGACCTGCCAAAATAAGTACACGGCGTGTAGGAATTCAGACAGCCAGTCTGAGCTGAGCCGGTGGTCCAGCATCTGACTGTAAACTTATGGAAGCAGTTACTAATTAAGGGTTGATGTCACAGAGGCTTCTTGGTCTGGAGAAGCGGAATTCAAGATGCCATGGTAGCAGGTGCTGTTGGAGGCTCCATCTAAGGGTTGAGTTGGGTTGAGAAGGCAAGAGTTCTGAAGAAGAGGAGTTCTGAGGAGGAGGAAGAGGAGAGGAGGAAGTGGTTAGGGTGATGTAATAATGTGACCATCAATAGCACATACCTACAACTGGATATCAGATTTGAGTAACTTGAAAAAGTGGGAGCTAATGATTTCCAAGAGCCACAATGTCACATGAAGCTAACGGGAAAAGGAAGGTGTGAACGGCTGTCAGTTAATTGGATTAAGGTTTAATTATAGCAGATAGGAGAAGGGTCAGAAAGTGGGCCATAGAGCCAGCCCCATCTTATGTAATCGTGATTTTAATTGGCTGAGATGCATTTTGAATGTTCAGCTCACCATTGTTCCTTTTGCGCTGTGAGAGTTTTTGTTTAATCTTTCTATATTCAAGTTTGTAAGTTTTTTCCAGTTTCATGGTCTTTATTCTTTTCACATATTCAACTTCAGAATGTTCCAGATATAATAGTATCCCAGAGACGTCTGTCTTTTTAAACTGGGTTCTATATCTATGAATCAGATGTGAATTAAAACCCAAGTCATTGTCTGAGTCCTAGATTTAGAGGTTTGACTTGGTTCAGAAACCTTGTCCTTTTGCAGCAACCATGCCCTTTTGTCTTGATCTGCCTCTAGTGTGATTTAAGACTGAAGCCTGGCCTTGTTATTTAGATCTTGTCTTTGAGGACACAAGAAGTAAGATATGGGGCAATGGGGCTCTCTGATAGGACCCATCCTTACATCTTCATATCCTGAAGGGGTCTGCCAACTAGAAATACAAAGTTGTCATCTTACTAGGAGTTTTCTGTTTGTTTGATATTCTTTGTTTTTATTTTTTGAGATAGTCTTACTGTGTAACCCAAGTTGATATTGAATTTGAGATCCTCTTGCCTCTGCCTCCAGAACCCTGGAATTAGAGGCCTGTATCCACGAAAATTTGTTCCTAAAGTTTCTTGCCATTTGGTTTTAAGAACCCATTTGCTTTCTAGTTCACAGATGCAGTCAGTGGACAGACCCTGGCAAAGACCAAGGAATTGTTAATGTAACAACTATAGTCGATCAACTCAGGATGTTAAGCATACCAGATTCTGGGCATTTCTCAAGAATTCTTGGTTCCCCTGGACATAATGCTAAGTGAAATAAGTCAGACTTGAAAAGCCAAATATAAGCTTTAAATTATGTGAGAACGCTGAAATAATCTCAAGTTGAGAATTAAATAGTGTTTACCGGAGCCTAGAAAGGGGTAAATGCACAGTACAGAGAGAGGATAGTTAATGGGGACAGGGATGCAGCTGGATAGGAGGGACTAATTCTGGTGTGGTGCTAGGTGTTGAATCCAGGGTTTCACCCATCCCAAGCATGTGATGATGTACCACTAAGCCATGCTCTAGCCCAGGAAAAAATAATCAATCTCTAATGTTTTGAAAGACAGTAGGATAACTGTGTTCAAAAAGAATTGATTGAAAATTTTGAAACAGCTGGTAAAAATGATTTTGGGTGTTCCCAACACAAAGAAATGATGTGTATCTAGGGAAGTAGATGTGTATATCGTTAGTTACCCTGAGCCAGTTTCTACATACTGTGCAGCATGTATTGAAATGCCATGCTACAGCCCAAAAAATGTGTGCAGGTAGCATGTCGATTCAAATGTATCTAAGGAATTAAACAGAAGGTAAACTTTAAAAAAATATGTGGTTCCATTTCCCTGCCCACTGTGTGCATAGCTGCAGACAGAGATAAACATTGCTTTGTGCCCAGAGAGGGGATGTGGTGGTGGAATTCTTTCTGGGTACTGCCCTTCAGCTCAGTCCTTCGGCGAGCTACTGAAGCCTGTGGAGGGACAGAGGAACAGTGTTTAGAGTTCCCTTGCAGACAGGCAGCCTTTGCTCAAGGCCAAGGATGAGCTTTGTCAGCAACCTTGGAGGGCAAGGAGCCTAACCATTTTAGGACTCTTTACTCTTTTGAAGTAATTCCTATGTAGTTATAACCATTTAATTTTCATAACAGCCCTTAGGTTAGGTAGCAGCTATCCTCATTTACAGATCAGCTAGCAATGTTTAGAAGATTAAAGTAACAACAGCTTACACTGCAGATACAGTAAGCTACCAGCGTCTCAGCTTGCCAGTCTGAGTCAGAATTTCTACCTGAGTACCACAGCGCTAGCTCTTCAGAGGGGCAAAAGTGCTAGCTTTTTTTAATGGGTGCCTTTCCAGCCCAGAACTGTGTGTGTGTGTGTGTGTGTGTGTGTGTGTGTGTGTGTGTGTGTGTGTGTGTGATTTGTCTTCCTGTCTCCCCTATATCCGTTCCTTGTCTGGGGTTTATTCTGGTTGACACGCTCCTCTCATCCCTCTTCTCTTGCTGACAGCCAGTGTCTGCTGGTATCTCCTCAGTGTGTGGGGGCAGGCAGAGCACAGCTGTGCAGTTCGGGCAGGAGCACAGCTGTGGTCAGCTGCCAGTTGACACAGCGGCACATGGTGTCACGATCGCATTTCTCGGGTGGTTCAAGCTGCTGAATCAGTGGCATTTACTGGGGCCACAGTTGGGTGAAAAGTCTACATACCTGCAAGAGCAATGGTGTGTCTCCCCAAATCCCATGTGCCACATGTTCTCATAAAATTATCATGGCTAAGGGGCTGGGGAGATAGCTCAGTAATTAAAATTTCCCATTGTTCTAGAGCACCTGAGTTTAGTTCCCCAGCACTCACATTAAGTGGCTCATAGCCACTTGTAACTCTAGTTCCAGGGGGCTACAGTCACCTCTGTGTGCGCATGAGCCCCTTCACACACATAGACACATAATTAAAAAATAAAGTAAATCCTAAAAATATCATGAATGAGAGCATGTTTGCATAAAACCAAAAAGCTGCTTGCTTGATTCATATACAGCTTGAGGGGACTCTGTGTCCACCTTGACCTTAAAGGTTCCCATTTGATTTTAATAAGACACATTTAAATATGATGATAATTTTCATCATAGAAACAAGGACCTTAGAGGTAATGAATAGTTAATGGATTTGATGGTGACACCTAGTAGTTTGTTACCCCGAGAAAAGTAAGACATCCATTGACAGCTAAGAATAGCAAATATAGGTTTTCCTCATTTAAACTTTTTTGTTAGTAGTTTCTTTTTGTTGTTGTTGTAGTTTAAAATGTTGAAATGAAACTAACCATATTTCCTTTTTTTCCCCAGAAAAAACCACTGTCTGCAATAATAAAGGAAGTCTGTGATGGGTAAGTGTCACTCGGGGCTCAGCTGAGGCTCTTTAGTCTGTACATTCTAGGCAAACAAAATATTTGCAGTGGAGTGGCGAACAGTATTCACAGCATTATAAGTACATGCTAGCCAAGTATATGTTCCTAACTCAGCACTCCATCTGCCCAGAGTTGCCCACAATTCCTGTGTGCAGGTTGCACCCCATTCTACCAGTCTTGACCATTCTTTCTCCAAGAGCAGACAGTGAACTAGGTGGGTGTTGCACTGTAGGCTTGCTTTTCTTTGTTTTGGGAAGTCGGTTGGGAAGTTTGGCCTTCCCGGCAGGGAGCGATCTAAAGGTTCCTGGGGTTAAGCACACACTCCATCTGAAAAACCTGAAAGCCCATATGCCAGAGAAGATGCGGAGCCTCACATGCCATGGGGCTTTCCTGTTTTCCTGCCTGTGCTGACAGTCAGGGAGAAAGCACATTTGGGAGTTAGATGAGACGTGGGGACTGGCACAGCAGAACTGGTAGTCTAGTCTGTTCCTGATAAAGGCCCGAGACCTGGAATTCTTAACTGGAGCGTTCCAGTAGGTGTCAGGCATACCAAACGAGGGTTTGGAATTCTGAGAGGACTGAAGCATGTTGATCGCCTAAAATGTAAACCGTTTTCATTTCCTTTGCTTTTGTCTCTCCGCTTCAGTCTCTTATAAAAGTAAAGAATGTTGCATTTAATATTGCACCGGTCCCACCTCTGGTGTTGGAGATGAAATGCTGAGAGTAGGACTAGGCCTAGGCAGCCACCTGTGAGATGACTGGAGCCTGGGTAGTGAGGTAGTGAGGGTGGGCGGATGCTGGAGCCTGGGTAGTGAGGGTGGGTAGTGAACGTGGGCCGATGCTGGAGCCTGGGTAGTGAGGGTGGGCCGATGCTGGAGCCTGGGTAGTGAGGTAGTGAGGGTGGGCCGATGCTGGAGCCTGGGTAGTGAGGGTGGGTAGTGAACGTGGGCCGATGCTGGAGCCTGGGTAGTGAGTGTGGGCCGATGCTGGAGCCTGGGTAGTGAGGGTGGGCCGATGCTGGAGCCTGGGTAGTGAGGGTGGGCCGATGCTGGAGCCTGGGTAGTGAGGGTGGGCCGATGCTGGAGCCTGGGTAGTGAGGGCGGGTAGTGAGGGTGGGCCGATGCTGGAGCCTGGGTAATGAGGGTGGGCCGATGCTGGAGCCTGGGTAATGAGGGTGGGCCGATGCTGGAGCCTGGGTAATGAGGTAGTGAGGGTGGGCCGATGCTGGAGCCTGGGTAGTGACGATGCTGGAGCCTGGGTAGTGAGGGTGGGCCGATGCTGGAGCCTGGGTAGTGAGGGCGGGTAGTGAGGGTGGGCCGATGCTGGAGCCTGGGTAGTGAGGTAGTGAGGGTGGGCGGATGCTGGAGCCTGGGTAGTGATGGCGGGTAGTGAGGGTGGGCCGATGCTGGAGCCTGGGTAGTGAGGGTGGGCCGATGCTGGAGCCTGGGTAGTGAGGGTGGGTAGTGAGTGTGGGCCGATGCTGGAGCCTGGGTAGTGAGGGCGGGTAGTAAGGGTGGGCAATTATACCTTTGTCTTGGGAACTTACTTCCTTGTAACAAGTACTATACTGGCCCAATTTGACTCCGAGAGAGTTTAATTAATCTTAACCCTATAAAACTACTAAAGCAGAAACCGCCACTTTCATGTTTCTGATTATTTATGCTTGTGTTTTAAAGGTGGTCTCTTGCCAACCATGAATATTTTGCACTGCAGCATGCTGATAGTTCAAACTTCTACATCACGGAAAAGGTAGGCGACTGCATTGTTTAATCTGGGGGTACTCATACTAAAGGGAAGTAAATCACTGCCATTTTTTTCTGTTTAGGGCTGGTCAAAATTTTATGTCCCTACCCTCTGTGACAATAGGGTCTGTAAAGCAAAAAACTGCTCATTGTCCCTGCAGGTGGTGGCCCTCTGGCTATCAGGGTGGTGTAGTTAGATGCCTGGAAACGCCTTCAGAAATTACCTTTTCTTCCCAGAAGACCTTTGGGGCTTTAGGAGCGATCAGATTTTCTTTTCACATTCCTGGCTGCAGATGGAGAGGTAGCAGTTAGACTAGGGTCCGTGGCAGGTGTTGGTTGTGTTTAAGTATACCTTTGGTGTCTTTAATTCAGTCCATAAACACTTGTTTTCCATTGGATTATTTTCTCAATACTTTTTTACTTTTGCTGCACCTATATAATTTGCACACTTTACTTTGTGAGATAGAGGACACAAATAAAGAAAAGTTAAATGTTGGCAGTTACGTTCTATCACTGTGTGTGGTTTCATTCATCAGCCATGGGCAGTGAAATCGATTGAGATGATTGCAAAACCTCAAACTTGAGAATAGCACAGAGTGGCTCAGAGTGTGTATCCTGTGCTTTTTGTGAAATGTTTTTCTCATATACCTGCATATTGAGCGTGTAGATTGAACTGATTCTTCAACCTGTGTTGTGATAAGCCAGCCACTTGGTCACAAATGGCTCTGCCTTTGACTAATGAATGTTGATTTGTGTCCACCAGTGGCTGTCATATCCCTTTACCGAAGAAAGACCCAGAGTATAATCATCTCAGGGGGAGAGAGAGAACCTCTCACAAGGACAGGTTTTCAAATCTCAACACCAGAGACTGAACGGGGAGCTTTAGAGAGGTCCTGAAAGTTTCCATTTAAGGGACTCTCCAGGGAGTTCTGGTATAGTATAGCCACAGATTTCTCAAAGAGGAAAGAGCCCTTGTGCTTTGGGGACAGACAGGTCTCCTTTCTAAGGAGCCAGACCTACCCCCAGGGGGGCACGGTGTGCTCTGACCCCAAGTTGTTACAAGGTTAGATTGAGAAGTGTATGTTTGTACTGCCGTTTCTTAGAATGATTTTAAAAATCACTATCAAAAGCATCATATAGCATTGTGTCATCCTTTTTTGAGCTAAATTTCATCTATGCTCAGAAAATCCAAACTGCCAAGAATAGGGGGACATTCATTATTTTTTGAGGCACTGGAATCATTTTGGGAGGGGAATCTTGTTTGCCTAGGGAATTCTCACTGTTGGGTTTCAAAGGGACTGTCTGCATCTGTCTGCCATCAGTTCCTCAGCACACAGTCAGAGAGATTAGCCTTTTATTGAGAGTTTAGAGAGTGAGAAAACTCATCTTCCCAGTCATGGTCCTTTGTTTGTAAATAACATGTCACCACTCTTCTCTTCCAGCTGTGTGTGCTTATGCGAGGCACAGAGATGGGCGTGCCCAGTGTAGGACAGCAGTGCATCTTGAGATGCACTGGGTCAAACCTGGGTTACTCCCAGACTGCATCCCAGTTTTTGCAAAACAAATAGGGACCCCTTTCCAATTCTTAAAATAGTGTAGTTAACATCCTCTTGTTACCTACAGCCCAGTGAGTTGTTAGGCAATGTCTGCGTCACCATGGTAACCAGTGACTAATTTTTGAAGCTTGTACATGCCATTAGTTTCTGACTTTCACTTGCTAGGAAATGATTGTTCCTCTCCCTGACAAAAATTCCCTGTAATTTAAAAAGGGAAATATTCTTTAGCTCTGGCCCAACATGGGAACACAGGAAGGGATTGAGGGATGTTGGAATTTCTCCCCAAAGATTCTCAAGAAGGAACCCCTCCCCCGCCTATTTTTCTCATGTTATCTGAACCCATTTTCTAAAATAGTTCTCGTTTACTCTTTGGACCATGGGGACAATGTCATGTTAAGGAGCATTTTGTAGAAGTATAGTATGAAAAGTTTGTAGGGGACGTTAAAAAGCATCTATTTGCAAGTTCAGATTCTGGCTCAGAAACATAAATTCCAGGATAGATGAGTGGTGTGTGTGTGTGTGTGTGTGTGTGTGTGTGTGTGTGTGTGTGTGTGTGTGTGTGTTTATGTGCCTGTGCATGCACACATGTGTAACTGTTTCGGTGAAATTTCTCATTTTGAGGCAGAATGGTAGTGAGAAGGTACCCAGTGTTTTTAGCCATCACCTTCATCACAGTCTTATGAGGTAAGCATCTTCATGTGAATGGAGGAAATGGGACCAAAGGAAGTTATAAGACAATTTATTTAGGCCAGATACACCAGAAGTGACCAAGCCCAGTTTGGCCCTGGTAACTCTGCTGCCTGAACTCCTGTGTGTTGATACCCTGACATCTGGCTGGCCATCTTGATCCCCATTGCCTCAGGAATCACAGGAAGACAGGACCATTGTTAGCAGTGTTAGTGTGGGACTTTCTTTTCCTGGTGTAGTAGGGGAATTTACATCAGGTGTAACATCCATGAACTCACTAGAGTTACAAACCCTTTTGCCTGCCTTTGCTATAGATTATGTGACCTGCTGGGATAAGGACTGTGATTGTACTAATGGCATCTTTTCTTTTTAAGGGAAATGAGAAAATTACCTTGTCCTCTTTACCTCTTAAGTATGCAGAAAGGGGAGGAAGTAGGGTTGTTTGGGGCCATCTGTGTTCTGCTCTCCTCTTCTCTTAAGTGCTCTGAATTCTGTGTTCCAGAATTTCTGACAGACAGCACTGTGTGGCCTCTGGGACAGGGCATCCTGTTCTAGGGGGTTATTGTACAGATCCCATTGTCATCAGAGTGAAACCAGTACCCCAAAGTCCCTGAAGCCCTATCATCAGCAGAGAGGAAAGCCTGTGTGGGAGTCAGTGACAGCAATGGAGAGCCAACTTCCTGTCCCGATTTCCAACTCAGGTTTCTTTTTCCTGAGTTCCACCCTTGCCAGAGGACCTGCAGAGGCCAGTCAGCCCTGCCCCTGACTGAAACCACAGGGTTCTGATCTTTGTGACTGACAGGTCAAGAACCTTCTCAAAGATAGGCATTTCAAATTGAGCAAGCCCAAGCCCAGGCTGGTTATAAACTTCCTCGCTCAGCAAGGTTCTTCTGTAAGAGTCAGGATTCTTTTGATAAGGAGTCACTCTGTGCTCTGTTCACACCTCCAGAGTTGGCCAGTTTCTCGAGGCCTAGTTCTTAGCATATGTGAGTGAAGAGAAAGGCTGCTGGACCCCGCCTTGCTCTGATCAGCCCTCGCGGGTTTCCTAAACTCTAGGCATTTTTCCCCTTGGCCTCTTCTTCCTTTCTGACACCCCAGCCTGGGGTGTCTTCTGCAAAGCATAATATGCTGCTGACTTCTTTGCTTGCTTTGTGACCAAACCAGACATTTGCTAACAGTGCTTATAGAGGCCATGTTAGCTGCTTGCATATTTGTTTGTAGCCTTTGTCAAGTACGGGACTCTTGTATACAGGCTGCTTGTCTCAGGCTCATTGCTCATATCTGGAGTGGCCAGAATGAAATGGCCATTCTAGGAGGATAAAGACACACATAGGTACATTCAATACAAGAAACATGGCAGGTTCCTGGTGTGTGTCAGGCACCCTACCAAGCTTTGGGTGTAGTTCCACAGTTCCAGCCTTCCTCATTCTCAACAGGTAGACCCTCACCCACATCCCTTGATTGAAATGACAGTAAGTGCCACAGAGGAAATAAAGTCTTCAGGAAGTGACGTTTACGTGAAGGTCTACAGAAAACAGAGGGTAGAGATACAGACAGGAGTGAAATGGCTCAGATTAGTAGCTGGAGGTGAACTCTCAGAACCTGAGAGGCCATGGTAAGACTATTGCCCTGCATTTGAGGCCAGCCTGATCTACATAGTGAGATCCTGTCTCAGAAAATGGAGCCAAACTCAATCAAATAATAAAACCACACAAACAAAACAGGCCCAGAGTTTTTATTTGCAAAGATCAGGCAGAAAGAGCCAAGGCTGAGGTGGGCTAATTATGGCTGGACAGTTTTGCATAAACCACAACTGTTTAGGCCTTTTAAGGGTGTTTTTAAGATTTTTAGCTTTATTCTAAAGCTGTAAAAAAGCCCTGAGGTAATTTTAAGCTGGATTTGACCACAAATGTTTGGGCTATTATTACTTTGATTGATTATGTTGGAAGCCTAAGTCAGTCTATGGTAGAAACTATGAGAAAAACCAGTTCATTGTGGATAGGAAAAGAATTCAAGGTTGGCTTGAAACACACACAGAGATGGACACAAATGCTGGCTTCTGTTCTTGAATCCAAGGAGAAAAAGGGCCCAGATGGCACCTTTGAAATATCTGCTTTCATCAGGGTGTGGTGGCCCATGCTTTTAATCCCAGTACTCAGGAGGCAGAGGCAGGTGGATCTTTGAGTTTGAAGTAGGCCTGGTCTACATGGAGAGCTCCAGACTAGCTAGGGCTACATAGTGACACCCTGCTTTTTTTTTTTAAAAAAAAAGGAAGGAATATCTGCCTTCATAAAGCTCACTGTTCATCACCTCTTTGACAACTTATTAATTAAAAAAATTTTTTTTGGTGAATTATTTTCTTATTTATTTATTTTAATTTATTTAGTCTTATTTTTTAATGGTGTTTTGTCTGTATGTATGTCTGTGTGAGGGTGTTGGATGCTGGACTTACAGACAGGTGTGACCTGCCATGTGAGTCCTGGGAATTGAATCCGGGTCCTCTGTAACAGCAGTCTGTGCTTTTAACTGCTGAGCCATCTCTCCAGCCCCTTACTAATGTTTAGAGGAACACTTTGTTCTTGAATCAAAGTATGCTTTATTCATTTCAAATGATGTCTTCTTAATGAATGTGACATTTTCATAGCCAGATGAAATGTCAGTATTTACTTACCTAACACATCTCTTCAACTTACTGTTTAGAATTTACTTTGGATACAGGTGTTCCTAATTTCAAATACATATTTTCCAACTTATATTAGGAAAAAAATGGAAAAAATGCAATATCTCCCCATAGATCAATGTGCAGAATATAGGAAGGAGGAATTTTTCCCTTAGATTTGACAGCCCAGTGTGTGCTGGATTGAGCAAGATAATTAAGACACAGTGTTTGTCCCCATTGGAAGTTTCTGTCTGGAGATAGATTAGTTGGTATCACCTGATGATTGAAAGGCCGTGTGTTTGAAGAGATTATTATGGATATAATTTGAGTTATGTAGGTTTATAATTGAATCATTGTAATTCCGTGTCTTACTGAACATGGTCGTGTGGGATGTAATGCTTCTACTCCAGTTCACTGCAGAGCTATAGTTCACACATCCTGAAACACAACTGTCTTAGTTAGTTTTCTCTTGCTGTGTCGAAAGACCATGCCTAAAACAGCGTATAGAGAAGAAGAGTTTATTTGGGGCTCACAGTTTCAGAGGATGAGTTCATGACCATCATGACAGGGAACATGACAGCCAGTGGGCAAGCATTGGACTGGAGTGGTAGCTGAGAGCTTACATCTCATCCACAGTCACCAGGCAGAAAGAGAGAGAATGAGAGGGATAGAGGAAGGGAGGTGAGGATGGCATGCTAACTGGGAATGGCATGGGCTTTTGAAACTTCAAAGCCTACCCTCAGTGACACATTTCCTCCAATAAGGCCACACCTCTTAATCCTTCCCAAACAGTTCCACCAACTGGGGACCCAGCATTCAAATGTAGGAGCCCATGGGGACCATTCTCATTTAGATGACCGAAATAAGTGAACAATGCAGTAGTTTTTTTTTTTTTTTTTTTTGTCATTCTTTATCTTTTTTTAGGCTAACAAAGCTATGATGTTCTTATGCAGGACATTTCCATCTTCTAAAGCAGTAGCTCTCAGACTTAAAGACAGAACTAGAGATTTACTTCCAACAGCCCATAGTGAAGACTCTGCAGTTCTACCTAGACCTAGGACAGTGCTATGCCCTGGTGGATGGGAATGTAGACTGTGAATCCGAGGATACAGACGATACAAGAGACTTAGCAGCTTATATGAATACTGAAGTTTCCAGAAAGGAAGACATTGACCCTGACTTAAAGTATTAATGACACCCTTCCCCCACTCCACTTACTATTTTTCATTAAATGAAGGGAAAAATCACATGTGACCCATTTTCCAACAACCATGGAACGTTTGGACACAACTGTTTATTGGAGTCAGCTACTAAGAATGGAGGTTGGAGACGCCACAGGAAAAGCAGTTGGAAAACAGTCCTCTTGTAAGCTGTTTGCAACATGTGAACCATAAGCCAAGAATTAGCCTGTCACCCCCAGCCCAAACCCTACATTTTGAATTTCTTAATTGGAAATCCCAAAGATTGTTAGTATTAATATTTACTTTAAGAGTGTATTGGATTTTTTTTCCCCCAGCTCAATAGTTGAACATCAAAGGCAGAGGTTCAATCCAGGGTGAGATGCTAGTTACAGAACATGTGTCTGTACTTGGTTCTGGAGAGGTGATTGCAGTGGAATAGAACTGCTACTGTCAGGCTCCCTCTACCCATTCTGAATCCATCGAGCATGACATAAAAATCTCAGTCTCTCTCTCTTCCCCCTCTCTCTTTCTCTCTCCCTCTCTCTTCCTCCCTCCTTCGCTCCCTCCCTCCCCTACCTCCCCCTCCCTGCGATTGTCCTGACTATGCAGCCTTGGCACTGGTCGTCAGCCAGCCAATGCCTTTGCTGTCAGTGACACCCCACCTATATTCTGGTGCCTTAGCTCTTAGTGACTCAAACTAAATTGGCAGTAAACATTCTGAAGTCTCTAAAAACATTTTTTTGGGTGGTTTGGGAACTTTGTAATTACAGTTTGAGAGTTGGATAGAAGCTCTCATTTTAAATTACTCAGTGTTTTTCCTTCGGTGAGGACTTGGAAATGCATAAACTTCAAGATGAAGAAAAAAGACAGCCTAAGTTGAATCACATAAATGAGAGGGGGTGTGAGCAAGAAGGGCAGTGATGCCATCAGCATTACTCAGATAGCAGTGGGTTTTATGACATGTCATTTAAGTTTACCACTGACTCGTGGATATGGGCTATAACAGGATGATTACATAGATGGAAGCCTTGTTTGCCTGGGCTCCGAGGCTTGTGTTTGGTAAGATATGGCTGCTCCTAGAGTTACAGGCAAAGATAAATGCCAGAGGTCATGATGATTCCATGTTCTCCAGTTCGGCTATTAAACCAATGAATAGATCGACTCACTTGCAGAAACATTTAACTATGTAGCGTTCAGATGCAAAAGGAAGGACACGTGGACTTCTTCCAAAGATAGAGTTCCTTACTGGCTTCCTCCAAAGACAGGTTTCTTCCTGACTGCAAATCACCCTGGAGACACCAGCCCACCCTTTCCAAACCCGAACAGGCAAAAGCGGGACACATAGACTCATTATCAAAGTGCTCAGTTCCATGCACGCCCCGTGTCACTTATCGTATGTTCAGAAGCCAGGGTCTTTTTGCAGAGCTTCTACGCACACCCCTGCTTGTGTTTCTCTGCTTCAGACAGAAGGTGTGTTTTTAAGTCGCTGTTCAATTTTCTTCCTCAGTGTGGGGATGGAAGCCCAGTCGTACGTTCGCATGTGTGCTTACGAGTGCTTTTGTTTTGTTTGTGTGTGTGTGTGTGTGTGTGTGTGTGTGTAGAGGGAATTAAAAATTCAGGCAACATTAATTATTTTGTTG